ATATATATATATATATATATATATATATATATATATATACATATATATATATATATATATATATATATATATATATATATATATATATATATATACATATATATATATATATATATGTATATATATATATATATATATATATATATATATATATATATATATATATATATATGTTTATTTGTTTTAGTTAGTATTTTTTTATGTGGATCATAAGTAATCTCCTGGAAAGGGAAAACGGTCTTCGATGTTAATCTTATTTCCAGGTCGCCTTGTTGATTTTTTGGTCTTTTTTTATTTATTTATTCATCTATCTATTTATCTATCTATCAATCTATGTATGTATGTATGTATTTTTGTTCTTTCTTTTTCTTTTCTTTTCAAAGAAAAAATTGGTTTAATATCCTTTTATGCACTTAAAAGTTCTCTAGATATTCAATCATCGTCTAAAATATTTTGGGAGATTTTTCTAAAGCGATTTAATTGCCTCAAAAGCGTGTAGGATTTTTTTCTTTTACCGAAGAACTTTTGTTGTCGAAGTAAAATGAAAATATTCATATATATACTCTTTTCAAGCAAAGCGGAATTCATTGAATGAATTCAATTTGGATAAAGAAAAACAACTTTGGAAAAACAGGCTACTAAAGATATCATAAAAATGATAGTAATAATAATAGAAAATAAAAATAAAAAATAAAATGAAAACAAGAAAAGAAAAAAAAAGGCGACAAAGAAATAAAGATCATAAAAAAATCATGAAACATTCATATATATTCAGAACGCAAACCACGGCGAGCCATTTTCGCGAAAGCTGAAACCCCGACGTAACTACGCCTCCATCAGAATTATTTTCAACCGGATTTATTGATTTAGGACAGGGGGAGGGAGAGAGGGGGGGAGGGAGGGAGAGGGGGAGAGAGAGGGTGAAGGAGGGAGGGAGGGAGAGGGGGAGGGAGGTAGGAAGAGGGGGAGGGAGGGAGGTAGGGAGGGAGGGAGAGGGGCAAAGGAAGGAGGGAGAGGATGAAGGAGGGAGGGAGGGAGGGAGGGGAGGAGGAGAGGGATGGTGGGTGAAGGAAGGAGAGGAAGAGGGAGGGACTGGGGAAGAGAGGAGTTATGGGTGAAGAAGGGTGGGGGGGGGGTGCAACGCGGTGGGGGTTGGGGAGGGGATGATCGCCCCGGACTGCAACATTTCCCGTTGAAATACAACTTTCCTCTCATCGTTCCTCCCTTGCCTCCCCTCTCTCCGCCTCTCCGCCCCCCTCTGCCCAGCTCGCCCCACCTCCCCTACCCTCCCCTCTTTACCCTTCCTCCCACCTTGCCGCCTTCCTCCCCCTCCCTCCTCCCCTTCATTCTCCTTCTCTCTTCCCCTCTCTTCCCTTCCATTCTCTCTCTCCCTTTTCTCCTTCCTTCCTCCTACTCTCCATTCACCTCCCCTCCCTCCCTCCCTCCCTCCCTCCCACCCTTCCCCCTCCCTCCATTCCCCTTCCCCCTCCCCTCCACTTCCCTTCCCCCTCCCTTCCCCCTACCTTTTCCCCTCCTCTCACCCCCCACCCCCCACCACCGACCCCAAGCCTGAGCCGCAGACCGAGCCCACCACTTTACAAGGCGCATTAGGACGTTAATTAAGCCCGGCGAAGGTTACCTGTCCCCTCTTCCTCCCCCCTCCTTCTTTCTTCCCCTCCTCCTTTCTCCTCCTCCCCCTCCTTCTTCTCCCCCCTCCTTCTTCCTCTCTCTTTCTCCCTCTTCCTCCTCTCTTCCCCCTTCCCTTCTTCTTCCTTCTCTCCTTCTTCCTCCCCCTCCTTTCCCCCTCCTCCTTCTCCTTCTTCCTCCCCATCTTTCTTCCTCCCCTCTCCATCCCCCTCCCCCTTCTTCTTCCTCCTCCTCCTTCTCCCCCCCCCCTTCTTCTTCTCCCCCCCACCTTCCCCCTCCCCCTACTTCTTCCTCCCCCCCTCCTTCCCCCTCCCCCACTAGTCCCTCTCCCCTCTTATTCCCATGCCTATCCTTCATACCCATCCCCCTCCCCCCCCTCCCCCCACACGTGCCCCTTTTCATACCTTCCTCCCTACCTACCCGTCTTATCTTATACCTCCTTTACCCCCCTCCCCCCCCTCCTTCTCTTCCCCACCTCATACCTCTTTTACCTATTACCCCTACCTTACCCCCTCACCCCTCCTTCCCTCCTACCTACTCCTCCCTCACCCCCCTTCCCCTCTTACCTACTCCTCCCCCTTTCCCTCCTTCCTCCTCCTTCCCCTCCTACCAACTCCTCCCTTACCCCCCCCCTTCCCTCCTACCTACTCCTCCCTCACCCCCCTTCCCCTCCTATCAACTCCTCCCTCACCCCCCCTTCCCTCCTACCTACTCCTCCCTCACCCCCCTTCCCCTCCTATCAACTCCTCCCTCACCCTTCCCCTCCCACCTACTCCCTCCCTGCCCTCCCCTCCCCCCTGCTTGACGATGTAATCTGGGACTTTCTCAAGGCGCGGATTATATCGCCCGACTCACGCGAGAGGCGGCGACGGAGCTACGTAAGGAGGAGGAGGAGGAGGAGGAGGAGGAGGAGGAGGAGGAGGAGGAGGAGGAGGAGGAGGAACGGGAGGAGGAGGAGGAGAAGGAGGAGGACGAAGAAGAGAAAGGGGGAGGAGGGGGAGGAGGAGGAGGAGAAGGAAGAGGAGGAGGAGGAGAAGGAGGAGGAGGAGGAGGAGGAGGAGGAGGAGGAGGAGAAGGAGGAGGAGGAGGGGGAGGAGGAGGAGGAGAAGGAGGAGAAGGAGGAGAAGGAGGAGGAGGAGAAGGAGGAGAAGGAGGAGAAGGAGGAGGAGGAGGAGGTGGAAGAAGAGGAGGAGGAGGAGGAGGAGGAGGAAGAGGAGGAGGAAGAGGAGGAGGAAGAGGAGGAGGAGGAGGAGGAGGAGGAGCAGGAGGAGAAACAGGAGGAACGGGAGGAAGAGCAGGAGGAGGAGAAGGAGAGGGAGGGGGAGGAGAAACGGGAGGAACGGGAGGAGGAGGAGGA